CTCACAGGGCAGCTGCCCGTTGTAATGCATGGGGTTCTAACAGCAGGACCTCCAAGTAATGTCTAAAACGACCTTTTAGATATTACTTTATTTTTGGAAAAGCAAGCCCCTAGCACTACAAAGGTAGGCTCAGAAATATTTGGGATTCAGGAGACTGAATACTCTTTCCCAGGGCTGACAGAACCAGCAAAAATAGGGCCCAGTATGGTGATATGTGCAAATGTGCCTTCTTTGCATAATTTTTATGGGGGTTGTAGAAATGAACGTCTTTGGGTGCAGCATCCGGAGTCACCTGGCACAGAATTCTGATTTGTGATGAGGGCAGAGAAGGAGTTGGGGCCAATCCATGGCATGCCAGGGGCCTTCCTCCTCACCCTTCTGTTTCTCCCTGCAGTGTACGCCCAAGATGGGGGCCTGCCCCCCCGCCAAGCCAAGGCAACCGTGCGTGTACTCGTGGTGGATGAGAATGACCAGACCCCAGTCTTCCAGAGTGGCGCTTGCTCCCTGGCGGTGCCAGAGAACCAGAGTCACCAGAAGCTGCTCACCCTGCGTGCCACAGATCATGATGCGGGGGAAAACGGGCGCCTCTCTTACTCCCTGGCAGGTGAATAGTTCTGAGGGAGGGAAGCAGGCTGGGGAGCCCTGGGGCAAGCAGCATCCACAATTCACCTGGGGGCGCTCAGCACGTTATGCCCTTTTGGTGTGGGAGGTACAGTATGCTCCTCCCCACCTCCGGGGGAGAAGGTCTTCTCTCTCCAGCTGAGACTGGTGCCATAAAAGTTCTGCATTCTGCCATGCCTTTGATCCCACTGATTCTGGTTATCTTGCATTCTTACTATCCTTGTTCTTGTGGGTGGTTTTATTCTGGCATCCTTGTTCTCCACCCAGAATCTTAACTAGGTGGAGTGCTTTACAAATACCATAAAATGAATAAATAATACATTTTTTCAAAATGGACATATTTGCTCACTTTGCAACCGAGTGAAGTTTCAGAAAGTGCTGCAGAAGAAGGCAGTGGTGGTCCTGCAGGTTTTCAGAAGAGGTGTCTGAAAGCCAAGCAGGGCGAAGTGGGGCAGCTGGGGCCCCAGCCTTAGTTCGTTCTAGGACCTCTTATTGCTCCCTCCTTCTTCCCACAGCTGGAGACCCCGAGGAGGACTTTGCTGTGAACCCCTTAACTGGCCAGCTGTCCACCGTGCGAGGGCTGGACCGGGAACGGAGGGCCACCTACATGCTGACAGCCCAGGCCTGCGACCATGGCTTGCCCACCCCCCGCTGTGCCAGCCTGGCAATCCAGGTGCAAGTGCTAGACCTGAATGACAACGCCCCCCGCTTTATGCAAGAATCCTATGCCATGGAGGTCCCCGAGGATCTGCCCGTGGGGGCCCCGGTGCTGCAGCTCAGCGCCCGAGACCCGGATGAAGGCAGCAACGGTCATATTTCGTATTTCCTGGCAAACGAGACGCTGGGCACCTTCCAGGTGGAGCCGCAGACGGGCCGCCTTTACAGCACCCAGCCTTTGGACCGGGAGCGCCGGGCCACCTATTCCTTCCTGGGCTTGGCCATCGATTCTTCCCCACTAGCCCCCAGGAGCGCCTCGGCAGCCATCACGGTCACTGTCCAGGACGTCAACGACCACATCCCTGCCTTCCCCCTCAGCCCACTCGCCGTCACCCTGCCCCGCCACACCCCGCCCAAGCGAGTGGTGGCCACGCTGCGTGCTGAGGACCACGACGCCGGGGCCAACGCCTCCCTCCTTTATCGCTTTGCTGCGCCCACCCCAGCCTTTGCCATCAACACATACACCGGGGCCATCCAGCTGCTGCACCCACTGGGGAGCCTCAGCCAGCGCCAGCGCACCTTGTTCGTGCTGGCCAGCGATCTGGGACAGCCCCCCCTGTCCTCCATCGGCGTGGTGGTCATTCACCTGCAGGACGAGAACTACCAGGGCGTGCACTTTCCACGCAGCAGCAGCGACGTGGCCCTTCCTGAGAACGCTGCCCCAGGTACCCACCGGGGACAGGCTGCGGCCCGTGAGCTGTGGGGAAGCGCACACGCTGGGCTGGGATCTGGCTGGCAGGACAGCCACCGCTTCCCGGATGTCTCGAGGCGGAAGGGGGAGCAGACGCCCACTGCGTGTGCTTGGGTCGGGGAAGGATGGAAGAGCCGGGGCTGGTCCGCCTACCCCTAAGAGGCGTGCATCTAAAATACGTGCAGCATGGAAAGGAAAGAAATGGGGGGGCCCGAATTAAAATCCCAAACCTGGAAAGCTCATTTGCAAAGGGCAGAGGCCGAGTGGGTTGAGATCCGTCACCTCGCCTTTCGGTCTGCCTCAGGCGCTGGCGCCTGAATGAACAGCGCAAGGAGGCAAGCGCGCCCTTGTTCCAGCCCGGGAGCGGAAGCCCTGGACGGCAACGTGGGGCGCGTGACCGCAGCTTCGCTTTCCTCACTTCTGCCCCGTCTGTCCTAGCACCCCCTGCTCCAAATCTCCCAGGCTGAGCGGGGGCTAGAACCTGGGTCCCCCCCACTCGCAGCCCAGCACCTTCCCCGCCAGACCTGCCTGGCTCTTGGGTGAGGAGGAGGGTCTGGCCCCTTCTGTGGGTGAGGGGAGGGTGTCCTGCCTGCTCCTCGCCCAGCACCTTCCTTCCCCACCACCCCACGGAGCCCCTGGGGCTGAGGAGGTCTGGGGTCTGGGTCTCTGTGCTCCTCCTCAATCACCGTCACCTCTGCCTACTCCAGATGGTGGGGCTATTCAGTATAAGCACACATCTAAAACTTAAAAAAATATGTATCGCTACAAGTTAATTTCACCTTGCTAAACCAAGAAACAAGTTGAATTCTTGTATTTCCCCGGGTGAGATGAGGTAACGCAGAGAAGAGCTGCGTCCGTTCAACAAACCGTATGACCCGCGTGTTCTTTTTTTCTGGCTTGAAGCATTTTTCTCTGCCCCACAGAAGCCAGGCCGCTCCGCCTGCTCTCCCAACCCTCCTGCAGCAGCCCCGTGCCCAACCCGGGCAGCTCTTCCACCCCCACCCCTGGTGGGCCTTTTTGCGCCTCCTGCCTCTGCCCCCAATCACTGAGTGTCTGCTCCTCCAGGCACCCTGGTGCTGAGAACCCCGGCCAGGCACACCGCGGGCTCATCCGGCCAGATCACCTACAGCATTGTCAGCGGCAATGAGAAGGGCGCCTTCCGGATCCAGCCCGACTCAGGTACGTGGCAGGGCTGGTGGTGGGGCTGGGGGAAGGGGCTCCCTCCAGAGAGGAGGGCAGAGGGGTCCTGGGGTGTCCTTCTCCCCAGGGCCTCAACCAGACCCTGCAGGTCCAGCTGAGAAGGAGCCGGAGCTGCCCATTAAGGGCCCTGCAGGCTCCGGGCCCCAGACAGGGCCAGAGAGGAGCACCTGCCCTGCATCTTCAGGCATGATGAACCGCCTGGGTTATTCTGCCCTCATCTGGCCGAGCCTTGGGACCCAAATAATCCTGTAGTGCTTCTGCATTTATGAAAACAAGTCTGTATATCATACATTGCATCTGATTTTTTAAAACGGAGGTTGTGATTAATTATTTTAATTACATTCCTACATTGCCTTTTGTCCTCTGTGAGGATCCATCTAATTCCATCCGTCCACATCTTTCCCAGTCACCCGCTTCCCCAGCCCACGCTCTGTGGGTTCATTCGCCTGCTTGGCCAAAGCCCCTCACCCTGCGGCTTTCCTGGTGAGCCTTGGCTGCTGAGTCAATCCACGTTCCTCGGCACCTGTCATTCTTGGCCCCTTCCTTCTGGGCCCCATTCCCACTGCATTCAAGATACACAAAGTCATCAAGTCACTCTGCTTTCCCCCCTTTATATGTAACTTGTTTTGTTCAGGTCACTCTCTTTGTCAAATATCTTGGTCTTTGACGCATTAATTTTCAAATCTGTACTCCTTGCTGCATCACACGTCCTATCTAACGTTCACTGCAAATGATTGGGGTTCTCAGCCAACACCACCTCACCGCAAGTAAAAGTCCACGTGTGTGGAGTCTTTGGGGTTCTCTGAGCTTGGTTGTTTCCTTGCAGACGTTTCGTTACCCGGCCAGGCAACATCTTCAGCGCTAGAAGGGAGTGAGGTTTGCTCTCTGTTTCCATACAGTGGCTTGCCCTGCCAGTGTCAGTGGGGGTGGGGGGTTTGTTTTGTTCTATTTTTTCCCTCTGGTAGTTCCTTGATTAGGCTGTTGTTTCCTGTTTGATTGTCTGTCTGAGTTGATAGTTCCTCGATTATGGTATTGTTTACTGCTTGATTGTTTGTCTGGTGTTGATCGTGGCATTAATCCCTGCTTATCTGGGTATTGATTGCTGGCAAGGAGGTGTTCTGGTCTTTCTGTTTCCTTTTTACTGTTTCTTTTGAATAATGTGTAAATGTTGTTTAACTCTATGTACCTGTTGATGGTTGCCTTGTCTGAATGCCAAGCTTCCAGGAATTGCCTCGCATTTTTGGATTTAGCTTGGTCTAGGATGCTCACAGTTTCCCA